CTCCCGCCCCCCCCCCTCCGCCCCGCGTGTGCTTTCGCGCTCGTTCACATGGCAGTCACGTCCGTCGCTGGGGCTTCGTGGAGTGATGAGGGAACAGACGTCAAAACGGCCTTATGAATATTGATACGGAGGCTAGGCTGCTTTCGTAAAGGAGCAGAAGGAAGCAAGATGGCTGCCCTTTAGGATTGGGTAGAAGGGAAGACCGGATTGCTGTGGCTGGATCCTGCGAGGGCTGAGGGGACGCCGGCAAAGAGGTCAGACAGAGCGCTTGCTCGCTTTCCTCCCTGGGCTCGTTTCCTCCCGTTTCGTTTCCTCTCTGTCTCTCTCTCTCTTTCTCGGGCTCTTGTCAAAACTCTCCCCTTGTCTTCCTCCTACCCCGGCTGCCTGTCGGGCTGAGTCGTGTGACTTTTTTTTACATGTTTTTCTTAAAACACACACACACACACACACCACAACTCCTCTGCAGTTCTCATCAGAAAGGAAGGGAAAAAGTACAGTACAGTTGCTTCTCCAACATGGCTGGCAAATAGAAATTTTGAAGCCGAGGTTTAGAGATAGGCTTCAGGTTCTCCCCTCCGTCCCCACTCCATTCCCCCCCTTCCCCCCCCCTTTTCGCCTGGCAAATTTGGCTTTTTAGCTGGAGCTGGGTCTGGCTCTTGTGTTGAATGGGAGACACTGTTGGCGTGTCCAGTCGCGCTGCCTTTCCAAAGTTCTCCCTTTACAGTATTTAGTTGCATACTTACTACTCGTCTCTCTCTCACACACACACACACAGAGAGAGAGAGAGAGAGAGAGAGAGAGACGCACACTCCGCCAGGCTCTTTTGAAGTGTGTGTTTCTCGTGTACACACGTGCTGAGTGGCTTCATCGCGTCGGCTTTATGCAAGGAAAAGGCTCCCAAGCGGGGTGTGGAGGCGATCCGGGTGGTGGTTTGAAATCAATTTAAAAAAAAATCACTGTTTGGGTTAGTTGGGCGAAAGTTTAAGAGTCCATCTCCTCCCTCGCCGTCTGCCCCCCCTTTTTTTAAAAAAAAGTGGGTTTGTGATCTTTGAGCAAAGGCAAGCTCTTTCCGGAGATGTGCCTTCAATGGGTAGCGAGGACTTTCATCTCGTCCCGGCAGAGAGGGGCTCTGTGTGTGTGTGTGTGAATCTTTATGTGTGAAAGTCTTGTTTTCTGGCTTTGTGCTTTTCATGAATCAGCTCTCATTTGGTTTGCTGGTGAGTGACAGGCAGACACAAAGGCAGGCGCAGTCCAAGGGAGAAAAAGCGGGGGCGGGAGGGGGGGAGAGAAGGGGGTATTGTGGACTTTTAAGAACTACAAGGTCGAGGGCGCTTAAGAACACAGAGAAAGGGGGGGGGAAGAGAAGGGAAAATTTTTACATCACACCATTCTTTGCCCTCATAATTTGTAGTATCAGTGTGTTGTTTTGTCATCGGAGCAGCTTTGTCCCATGCCAACTCAAGGGGGGGGCGCAATTATCTTTCTGTCCTTTTAATTGCCTTTTGACAAGATCGGGGATGTTCAAATAAAAAAAAAAAAACAGGCAGGAATTTTCCAACCGAAGGCAAAATGTTTTGACCTGTTCGTGTATTTTTGTTTTACTTTGCTTTTCGCTTTAAACAAAATTCCGACCACCATCACCACCACCTCTCCTGTTATTTGCGACCGATAATGGAAGCTTTTATTTAACTGCTTCTTGACAATTTTAGCAGGTTTCCCCCATGGCTGGGTTAGTGTTATACAGCATATTTCCCTTCTGTATACTGACTGTGGTGGAGATGGGGGGGAGAACTGATGTGATCTCAGCGGTCTTCTACTGAAACATTAATTCTAATGATCTCATTTAAAATCCCCCTCCCCCTCCCAGTGGTGGATATGCAAATACAAAACCTGACGCCTTGAAATGATAAGCCACCAAAGAAAGGGACTTTGCTAGCTGTTATACATTTAAGCACTGTCCTAAAAACCGGGAGGGGGGAGGGATAAAAAAAGATCTTCCCTCTGTACAGAAGGTCAGTGGGTGTTGTTTGCTAGCTAATGAGGCCAATGCATTTGCATTTTAATGGCTAGCTGACACTGGCACTATGGTGGAGAGAAGGAATAGTGATAGCCTGTATATTCATTTGTGTAATTGCATGTGTATTCCATGATGGCACTTTAAGGGGAAAAAGTGACTAGCCAAAAAAATAAAATTAAAAAAAAAATAAAAGGAGGGGGACTCATTTGTAAAGCAAATTCAGCAGATGTGTGTTCATGGTCAAGCACCATGAATAGGTTTTAGTTAAGGGGATGTTTAAAAGGCAAAACAAAAACAAAACTCTCAAATGCAGTGTGCTGCCCTCCCTCCCAGAAGAAAAATACTACCTGTTGAAAGTCTCCCTTGGGAGTCATTGTGACTTTTTTCTCTGAGGTCAAGTGTCCAAGCTGCCGCGTCCTTTATAGTATGTTTCTGAAAGGTTATGGCAATTCATTGGCTTGTACTTGGATGCATCAAGAATTTTCTAAGAACTTTTACTCCCATGTTGTTCCTTCCCCTTCTGAAAAATAATAAAAATATAATTGTGCCCCTTTTGATAAATACCTACATAATGATTGTTTTATTTAAGCAAATATATATGTGAAGTACACATATAAAGGTCTTTTAAAAAAATAAGCTTACCCCTTTAGGTTGTCAATGTGACCTATCAGATAACAGGAACTCCCATCAGACCTAGCCAGGGATTGCAATCCAACCACCATCTTGAGCAGTACAGGTTGATACTTGGCATGATTTCATACTGGATCAATAAACTTTTTTACATATACTGTACACAAGTTTATATTTTGCTAAGGAGTATCCAATACCCTGAAAAGCATGAAGAAGAATTAAATGGGTCAGTAATATACATTTGAGTGTTATTCACTGTATGTACAGGGATGTGCATGTTTCTGTACCATGGTTCAGAACATGTAGCTCTCCAGATGTTTTTGGATTGCAGCACTCAACAGTCATAGGCAGCACAGACAATAGTGACAGATCTTGGGAGTTGCAGTCTGACAACACCTGATGGGCTGTATGTCACCCCAACCTACTCTGCACATTGTAGTACAGTTGCAGTCTTTTGTTCTCAGTTATTCTCTTCTGGCTGCATAATAATGTGCACAGCTATAGAGAAAGAATGCTGAATCTTGTTGGTAATCTGCCATGCTAAAAAGCAAAGATTAATTAATGTAAATCTGTAGTTTGTTACTCAGGGTCATGTGCAATTGATAAATATATTGTCAGTGTTCTGTGAAGGATTCTGTAACTGAGGATTGGGAGCTTGTGTCTCTCAAGCAGATATGGCCCTGCAGCTCTCACTTAACACCACCAGCATGCCCTGGATGATGAAGGTTGTCAGCAAACAACTGGAAGACCATAGATTTCATCCCACTGCTCTAAAACCCAATAAAAGTATTTTAAGAGTAAGGACATACCCACAGTTTCTCAAAAGCACTTGAATCTGCACCTACTTGCCAGATGGGGGTGCAAGGAGAAGTGTCAGTTATTCCATGCCTTGCTTTTTAGAAGTAAGGTCCTTTCTAGTGAGAAAACTCTTCCCATTTATGATGAATCCTTTACAGCAATGGTTCCCAACCTTGGGTCCCCAGATGTTTTCGGACTAAAACTCCCAGAAGCCTTCACCATTATTTGTGCTGGCCGGGAGTTCTGGGAATTGTAGTCAAATAACATCAGTGCTTTAGAGTTTAATTATGTTCTCAGCATATGTTCTCAAATGTTCCATGGGCTGCATTAGAAAAAAGGAGGATTAATACATCTGCTGCTTCATTGAAATATTGGTGTTTTGTCATGGTTTTTGCTAGGTCTTTGGCATTATAACACTCCCTGCTTCAGCTTCTGTAGCTTGAGTCTTGTTCTGTTATGGTGCTCTTGGTTTTAAGCCTTGTTGTGTCGAGTATATTGTATTCAATGAACTGATAGCATGAAGAGATTGATTCTATCTCTTAATGCCCTGATGGATTGGCTATGGGACTTTCTATTAAAAATACAAGCTCAGAGAAAGCATGTTGTTCTTCATTGTCTTGATTTTCAAACCTACTGGTGCCACTGAAATTCTAAAAAGAATTTAGAATATTATCCCAGCAATGTCTTCATTGTCTTGATTTTCAAACCTACTGGGAATATTATCCCAGCAATGCCAATTGAAACTGAGTGAAATTTGAATTTCACTTTTAAAAGCATCTCTGTGCTCAGGATTTCAGAAATGTGCTCTTGTGGATGGAAAACCGCAGGGAGAGGGGTGTTGTTGTTGCATTGTACCTAGATGCTTACTTTAAGGTAGGCATCTAGGTACAGTTACTCTTTCTTCTTTAGGTTACAGAGTCCCTCAGAGAACACTGACAATGTATTTATCAATTGTGTATGACCCTAAGTAACTACAGAATTATGTATATCAATCAATTACTTGCTTTTCAGTAAGGAAGAGTACCTACATCCTCAATTGGCTGCTCCACATGCATCTTGTCATCTACTTTTTTCCTATGGTCAGCCGGGTAGTTAAGGAAAAAATGTTGTTCTGATGTTGCTGTCAGTAGCACCATCATATCAATCTTAATCAAGATCACTTTTGGTTGGGAGAGATGAAAGTGTAGTCTAATCTGTCTTCCAGCAATCTAATGTTTTGCCCTTTCTGCTATTGGTGGAGAAACAGTCATCTCAACAGAGATCAACAGCAATGGACTATAAGCAAAACCTTCCAATCTCCAGGACTTTCTGCTGAGATGATTATGTCACTGCTTTCTAGTAGTACTCAGAAAACAGCAGTCCTCATGACAATTCCTGGGGAAGGGATGGGTTCCAACTGGAATGGAGGGAGGAAGTGGATAAAAGTTCCATCAGCCACCATCAACTTCAGTAGCAGTCATTAGGATGGGGAGAGTATTGTGCCAAGGTTGTTTGTGTATGTGTGTCCTTATATTTGTGACCGTCAGCCAGTGCTACATATGGCTTTTGCAGTTAAATAATAATAGCTTTTAAACTGCTGACCCTATGGATCATCAGGTCCAGTCCCTGTCAAGGAGGCACAGTGGGGATCGAACTCCCAATCTCTATACCACTTAGCTATCCAGCAGTTCTAAGTTGCAGATCATTACTGATATAGAGGGTTGACTACATTTGCTTTAAATTATAGTGCAAGTCTGATATTCCTCTTAGGCAACATTCAACCTGACACAGTCTTTCTTTCATTGCTTGCTTTCTCTTAGCTTGCAGTGG